TAAATAATTAATATACTATGATTAAATCAATGAATAGATTGAATACAGTAGGACCGGTAAAAGTAGGGTCATTGAAATCACAATTACATTTGAGACCTTCTTATGATGAATTATTGAAAGAAACATTAGTAGGAGATGAGAACCGCCCATCAATTGAAAATGTAATAGACAGAAAAGCAACCAGATACAGATTAAATCAATACGGTAGTCAGTTTGATAATAAAGATGCTTTGGATATTCAGAAGAAACAAGAACTGAACAGAAGAGAAGAAGTTGTTAAAGAAGCGTCGTCGGACGGTGGTAGTGTAAGAGCTAAACTTGATGATGAACTGAAACTTGCTGACACACTGAAACAACAGCAGTCTTTCATTAATGAAAGATTGGTGGAAACAAACAAACAGAAAGAATAACTTGCTGAAAAAATGAGACTTTGGAGAGAACAACACGAAGAAATGGCAAGTGCTGTTTCAGAACAATCAATACCAGAAGGTGTAGAAATTCATTCAATGGTGTCCGCTGATGAAATGCCAGAATTAGAACCATTAGAGGAAGAGGAAGAAGAAGATGAACGTGAAGACGACCCTGTAGTTGAAGTAGAAGCATTGAAAAAAGGTAAGGATGATGACGATGACGCGCAAACAACCATTACTAATGATGAGAAAATGGAAATGCAAGAACAAGCAATCGAAATAGAATTAACAAATGTTGAAAATGAAGAAGTTGATGACGAACGAATTTTCAAAAATTATTTAAGTGGTATAAAGTGGATGTGGCCGGTGTATTTAGCAAAAAATCCAAGAAGTTTAATGGATAGTATAATTTCAAAACTACATCAATTCAATGTAATTAACGCTGTTAAATATGATGAGTTCAAAGAATTATTATATGAATATAACAATACAACAGGAGTAGATAGAAACGAAGTGAAGGTTAAACTACAGAAATATTATGAGGACAATGTTTATAATACATACTTCGTGCATAAAGCAACTCAACAATAAATAATCTATACTATTTAATATGACTGATAAATATTATGGATTAAGACGACGCCCTACATTTGATGAAATGCTGAAAGAAGCGATGACACACAGATTAAAAATTGAAATTATCCCTGAAAGACAGACATTTGACACATCAATTAGTAATATAGACTTTGATGATTTTGACCTTTCAAAATACGATAGGAGACTACGGTTGAATGCTAGGGTTCAAACTGATAAACAAGTTCTTCAACACGAATTGTTCCCTGATATGTTTGATGAAGTAGCACCAACATCACAGTTATATGAAAACAACGAGGCAGACGCACAAACAACACGATATGTAGCAAAATATGTTGCTGATGAAATTAATAGCAATGCAATTTCAGGACCAAAAGATGAACCAAAAGATGAACCAAAAGCTGAAAAGCAGGAAGATTTACAAAGTCTTCATTTAACGTCATCATCGTCAGCATCAACCGTGAAAGAGGAAGAGAAGAAAGAGGAAAGCCGAGAAAGAAAGTCGTTAAGAAACATATTTAGGTGGAGAAGACAAGAGCATATTTGAATTATTCAAATGAGAAAAGAAGTCATCCACACCATCAGAACAATCAAGAGAACAGGAAGAAGAACAACCGAGGGCATCATTCTGGACAAGACGACAGGTAGAAGCAAGAAGCAGAAGTCACTCACCAGAAGAAAGAGCAAGAGGCAGTCAATGGAGCATAAGACAAATGGAAACGAGAAGCAGAAGTCGGTCACCCGAAGAAATAGCAAGAGGTAGTGAATGGACGAGGGAACAAATGGAAACAAGAAGCAGGAGCAGAAGCCCAGAAAGCGCTGACACAAAAAGTAGCAGAGGCAAGAAGAAAAGAAATGACTCCTTAATATATTAAGAGAAAAATGAATAAGTGTATCAGAGAAGAATTGACAAACAAAATGTAAAATGTCGTGGTTGTAAGATATTCAACAACAAAGTTAAAAAAGCAAATGACATACTACCTGACTGTATCATTGATAATATTTTGAGTTTTGTATGTTGTAAAAGATGCACCATTACAAAACATTTACTGAAAAACGAACCTGACAATTTAAAAGAAATGGATAAGTGGATTTGGTATATGACGAGGTTAAATAAATGTCCGACGAAAAAGTCATTACAGACAATATTTACAACTGATTTTGACAAAACATTAAAGGAGTATGGATACGACAATAGGTTAATCTTGTATTATGAAACCGCTACTCAATTTCACTATAATTTACTTTTTAATCATAATGATGGTTATGTGTCTTGTAAATATTTTAGCATCTCGATGTGTAGAGATTTTCTTAAAATGTTGAAATGCAATATATAGAAAACAAAGACAACGTCGTTTATAAACACATTTTTGATAATGAGTTTTACCATAAATTCGTCTGTCATTTGTTAGAAAAGAAAAGGTTGATTATAGAATGGTTTACTTATAGAGATATTGTTGATAGTGACTCAGATTAAGTTTATTAATATTATTATCTTACAATATGATTAAACTACCTTAAAGTCAAATATATACTTAAAGAAATGAGACCTTAATATATTAAGAGAAAATGAGCGAGGGTAAAATGACAGAGAATAATTTTATTGTTGAGAATTGGAGTAACTTACCTGTTGAAGTATTAAAAAGTATCATTTCATATAAATTAGGTGAAACTGAGTAATTGAAAATAAAACATAATCATATTAAGACATTAAAGAGAATACAAAATCGTTATAAAATAAACAGAACTGAAACAAAAATAAAGACAAAGCACTATACTGTTGAAGAGAGTTATGATATAAAGAGACACGTAATTAAGTATTACATTTCTAGAAATATACCTTTAAGCATTAAAAGCATTGAAAATATACTTTGTAATGAAAATGAAAACTTAGATTGTTTGTTAGATGACATTGAAACCGATGAAGGTTATGAAGCAACGATAATAGTTATGATAGATATGTTTGTAAGATTTCATCATTTGAATTATTGTGAAGACGATGAATTTAGCACTTTTACTTTAAATTTTCATAGTGATGATGTTGTAGATAATATAACCATAGATAATATAGCTGATGTAATGAGAGCGGCACATCAACAAATATACAGTTGTATTGATGATGAAAGAAGTAGAATGAACTTTGAAGGCTTAAAAAGCATAAGGTTTAAACTCATTGTTGATGAACCTGTGTAATTCAGTCAGTTTATTCGTATCATTTATTTACTTATAATATGATTAAATTCTTCAAACCCCCAGAAAGCCATAAAATTGTCTGAAACCCGAACCTTGAAAATGTCAATATCTTAGACTGTTATTAAATGAAAAAATTGTAAAAAATGTTGAGAAATTTTAGAAAATAGACCTTGAAATAGACCTTGAAATGGTTTAAACAAAAGATTTCTTTATATAATAGAGATGTCTGACACCGTAGAAGAAATAAGGAAATGTTCCACTTGTGAAGTCAAGAAACCTTTAACTGACTTTAATGGAGACAATAAATGTTGTAAAAGATGTCTTCAAAAGCAAAAATAATACTATGAAGAAAATCGTGAAACTATAAAACAAGTCAGAAAGGAATATCGAAAAAATAACAAAAGTAAAATACAAGAACAGGGCAAACAGTATAGAGAAAGAAAGAAAGAAAGAACAATCAAATAATCAAAGAAAGAATATTACGACAATAACAGAGATGTTATTTTAGAAAAACAAAGAGAACGGTTTAAGGTAAAAATTGAATGTCCTATTTGTAAAACTGAGTTTGTGGCACATCAGAAATCAAGACACGAAGAAACAAATAAACAGAAGAAGAACCTAAATAACGTCAATGAAGCAGAGTAAAGATTAGATTGATAGTATTTATTTGTTATGATATTATTTAACGTCATTTTGATTACCTTATTGAAAGTCCCAACTGTGGATATTTTCCTTTAACTTTTCCATAGAATTCTGCTATTAACCTTATGAGAAAACAGAACAGGAGCGAAGAAAGGTTAAAATTCAATCTTGAACAAATGCCCTGAAATTGAAAATTCCCCGCCCTACAATCAATCTTACAACCATTTTTGGGGGGGGTAGCATATATATGTGTGTCCTGACTCACGGAAACACTGATTCGGTCAACACCAAGATGAATGAGGCAGAATTGATAGCCGCGCAACAGCTGCGAATGGCGGGGAAATGGACGGCTTCTGAGCGCGCTATCCGCTCCATTTTCCGTGCCAACGCCTTGCTATTGCGCAGATTAGCCATGACATCGCACGGCTAGGTAACCTTGTGCCAGCGTTGTCGGCCAGTCCGGATTCAATATTCTCTGCTTGTTGCCCGTTGTGCTCTGCTCCCACTGTTGGAACCTGGACGAAGTAGGCAAATCTAAAGCTGCACCTGCAAGCACTTGCTGGTTCCAAATATTCAACGCGCGCCCAGCTTGTTCTGCGCGCGCCACGAAGGATAAGCCTGCAGCATCAGTCGCGCATGGAATCTGGGAGCTCGGGAATCTCCGCCATAAACAAACGTAGCTCGGCAGATTCGCAGCCAGGCCCAATATTGCCAATCACGAGGCCAGCGATGAAAACGCGGACATTGATGGCACGGGCGGCCCCAACAGGTGTCCGGCAGCCCGCGGCAAATTCAAACGCAAGTCCTCCATTGCGACAGCCACAATCCTGGACAAAGGCCCTGCCAACAATTCAGCGGTGCAAATGAGCTGCAGTAACTGGCCCACACTAGCGCCAAGTCATCCTGGGCTAATGCTTGAGCGCGCTCAAGTCTCTCCACCCGCCAGCGTCCGAAGGCACAAATCCTCCCAAAGCTTGCGCTGCAGCAGTGCGGACTTGGGGGCGCTCTTGCATAGCTCCGACGATCCACGCCAAAGTGTCCACGAACGTGCCGTTGAATCGAGCTTGAGCGTGCGCTTGCAGCGCTGTAAACACTTGTGGCAGCATCGCCGCGCGGCAGTTTCCACTCGCAGCACATGCTGCGGCCCAGCACTCCACTCCATCATGACTGCTGCAGCCCCTGCAACCCCTTGGGGCCCAGCTCACTCGCACGGGCAAGCAGTTGCTGCCACCTGCGCAACATTTCGTCGACTGTTCGCATTGCCGTTGCCCTCTCCAACCAATTGAGGGTCTAACGTGTATGGCGGCTTCGCCTTGCCAGCCTCAGAAGCACAGGGCAAAATCTGGCAACCACCTCCTGAAACCAAGGTCCAAGCTTGAAGCTCTTGGAAATCGATCTGCGCGAAGAATGGATGCCTGTTGCGTTTGCAACGGCTTTGACTTGTCTGTCTGCTTGGTGACGCGCGCCTGCTGAGTTCGTGACAGCGCAGCCGTGTTGCAGGCTTGACGCACAGAAGTTGGAGCACGCATTGCTGCGCCTCAGGCGTTTGAGTGACCGACTGCCCTGCAGGAACAATCAGGAAACATCCTCAAACCAACGCCCCCTGCATCCCAGCAGCATTCTGAGAGCAGCCTGGGAACACCAAATTGCGATGCTTGGCAAAGTTGGCCACCTGGTGGACAACAGAAGCTCATAATAATTGCTTGCATACACGGATGATTTGCAAGCCGTCCTCCCGCATGGGTCTTGCGCGCACTTTGTTTTGGTTTGATATGGTTTGATATTTTTGCAAAGCCTATCATGGCAACACGCAGGCAGCTTCTGGCTGGCATCCCCAAAACAAGCACGACAGAGGCAACAAACTATAAAACTGCGCAAGCACGTAACGCGTGCCTTCGATATACCCCAGGATTTCGCAATGGCAAAGCGCAAGCCCAACTAGCTTGGCACGCAAACAGGCCTTCTCCATCATTCCACTCTTTGCTTCAGCGTGAGTGTTGGGCTGGACTGTTGGGATGAAGGGCGGGCTTCCGCCTGGCAAAACGATGGGCGAAAGCGAAGCGATCGGGAAACCTGCAAAAAGCCCGCCCGTCCTGGTTTTGAACAAGCCCAAATCACTTAATGCAGTTCCCCGAAACCTGCATGAGGCTGTGGCTGCGGCGGGCTTCACGCAGGCACAAATAGCGCGGTGATTATTGCCAGCTGAAGTCCACGCTAGCGTCAGCTTTGGCATCGCTTGAGTAACTGGGGTAGCTGTGGCGTACTTTCAATGGGAACTGGCAAGGCTCACCGACATTGATGTTGAAGTAAAACGAGAACCGTTTTGTTATCGTTTGGACAAAGGATGTCGAGGGCCCATTTTGGGGCAGAGCAAACCACACTGTTACATTATGTTACATTTGTCCTTGTATCGTTGTTTCGGGCAAAACCTTGATCCATGACTTCAGGAAGCCGTGTCCCTTCAAATTGCGTTGCCCGAAGCGCTCTTGGAAAAAGACAAGCCAAGCCACTAAGCATTGTGTAGATACTGCATCCGAGAGCCCAATTGTCCACCTTGGCTGCCAGAACCAGCTTGATAGAGAGTCACTCCAGCGCACCAAAAACTGCCAACAACTGGCATGCCAAGCTGGCGGCAGCGTGCGTGTAGTCAATCCCAAGGAACATCTCCGGCGCCACGTAATACCAAGATCCAACCCTGCAGAAGCTCAGCAGTGAAGGACAACCGTTTCTACATGAGAAGCAATCGAAACCTGGTGCCCGGAGCTGCAAACGCACGGCCAACAGGCAAGGAGCATTCCACTGGCAACGTCGCCCTCCACGGCAAGGCCCATGTCCGACAGCCTCACCTCGCCCTCTGTAGTCCTTGGGTGCGTTTTGGTGTTGCCAATGTTGTCAGCACCGCTGGGCCTGGTATCGCCGGGCAACTTTCATGAGGTTGGCAACTTGCGTTTCTTCAGCTTCTCGCCACTCCAGAGTTGGTGGGCTCCAAGCCTCTTCGCACCCTCGGGCGCAGGTCTGATGAACTTTCCTGAATGCGCAGCCCTTATACGTGGGGCGCGGGGTGTGCAATCCCCCGTCAGAACGAGCTGTCCTGCTTTGATGCTCACTGTCTTGCTCAGAATTTGCGCGCCAATCGGTTCACTGTCTAATGCTCGTTGTCTCTGTCCTGCTTTGTGCTTTTAGCTGCCCCATCGCCTTGCTTTTGCGAGCTTGATGTTTGCCAAAATCGATCGAAATCCTTCTGGTGCCGCATTCCCGCGCTAGCTTGCGGGACGCGTCAGAATCTTGTCAAAATTGGATTTCGTGGCAGGCACCACTCTAACTTCAAATTACACCAGCATCGACCCCAAACAGTGAGAGGCATTTTCTTGCTTGCATCGTGTGGGCACCAGTATGTCAGCAAGCAAAGCAGACAAGACACCAGGCAGGTAGTCAAGCGGCATATTAGGCATATCAGGCAAACACGCATGCATGCGCAAAAAGGCAACGCAAAACAGTGCAAGCAATCCAAAGGGAAGCAGATCGAAGCAAAGCCAGCGAAAAAAAACAAGGCAGAGCAGTGCAGAACAATCCAGGGCTTAGCAGAGCAAGGTGAGGCAGGGAGGTGCGACGCAGTAGTAAGGAGACAAGTGGGAAGACAAGTGAACAGACAGGAGCAAAGCAGTTCGATACCAGATCTAGGTAGCCAGGCACCAGAGAGGAAACGAATTGGGAAAGAAAGCAACACACGAGCAGAGCATGTTATGAGAGGTAGATCGACGTGACTAAGCGCCAGCCAAAAGACAAGCAAGAAAAAACCGAACATGAATAGACGAGCAGGGCACCTCATAAGCAGATCAAGGTGTTGACCAGGCACCACAAGTAAACACGCGGAAAGACAAAAGCGCAAACAGCAAAAGAGCATCTGCTGACCAGATGGAGTTTCCCAGGCACCAGAGAGAAGAGTGCAAAACAAATGCAAACACAAGAGCAGAACATTTCCTGGCCAGACCAATGCCAGTCTTGCGCGTGCGCTCCGGAGCGCGCGCGCGGTCCAATGTTGGTCTCGCGTGCTCCGGCTGGTTTGACCTCTGCTTTGTCACTGAAACCGCAACCAAAACTGCTTCATTATTTCTTACTAATATAGTAAGCGCCGGCTGCAATGATTGAATGTATTTGATTATCAGTGAATAATACCCTTTGCCGTTCATTGACTTAAGCAACCTTCTGCAACGCGCGCGGGCGCTCCGGAGCGCGCGCGCACCAATGTGAGTCTTCCGGCTGGATCGAATTCTGCTTTGTCACTACTTAGAACAACAACCAAAACGCCGGAATGATTAACTGTGTTTGAGTATCAGTGCTCAACACCCTTTGCCATACATTGCCTTAAGCGAGCTTCTTCAACGCGCGCGCTCCAATGCCGGTCTCGCGCGCTCCGGAGCGCGCGCGCGCAGCTGGCTTGAATGCTTTGTCACCGGCATTACAACCAAAATTGTGTTTATTTGTGCGAACTGGTTGTTACCCTCCAGTCAAGGGTGGATATTGACCCTTAGGTTATCTTAAGCGCCACTCAGGTGCTCGACGCAGAGCGCACGCTTTTCCCAATGGCTCGGCTGCGAATCTATGGTACCTAAAAGTGGGGCTCCTTGAGCCAAGAATTATGTGCAGACATGTATATGGTTGTTATACCCTTAAAAGACATGCCTCAGGTTCGGGGTCCATTGACCCCCCCCCACGAGGCCGTTACAAGGTAGAGTGCCCTCGCCTTATCCAATGGGTTCGGACCAGGCATAGAGGGTTCAACATCAAAAGTTCCAGGAACGTTCCTAAATCTCAAATGCGCGCAGGCTCTCCCCTTCATTTCGCAACCTGAAATAAAATCTTCGAGCCTAAGTCTCGTCGCAGCTGTACACACCTAGGAACTTCAAATGAACTTCCACGTTAGGCACCTATCAACGGGAGCATTAGCTTTCTCGTCTCCAGGCCTACGGCCCTCGGCTGACGTTGACTGGCTTCGCCACTACGCTTGGCCCACATCAGAACCTTGAAATGTACTGCCTAACAAAACCCTAGCTCTCACTTGAATGAAATGCAAAAATGAAAAGCATCATCTCGTCACTGAAGTCCGCCCCTGCAATCAACTTTTACAATGAGCGAGACATGTTGAGCAAAACTACTGGCCCCTTCGTTTCGCGGTTGAAAACGAGCCGCCACTTTTCAGCGCTAGCTCGTCTCGGGCAGTCCCGACTTGGATCTAACCGCTAGACGAAAGAGTCAGTGACATTGCACAGCACTCAGAACCGACAAAAGGTTCCGCTGTGAAAAGTCCTCATGTATCGTAGTCATTTTGCAGAATGAAAGCCAATCTTCATCAGAGGGCTTGTCTGCTTCTCGTACCTGCTCCTCTGAATCGTGGGTTGCTCCACGGGACCCTCCTCGACAATCTTGAAGCGAAGCTGCTCCTTGCCTTCCGAACAACCTCTTCCACATCAATGGTTTCGGCTGTCCTGGCTGCCTCGATGTTCTCCTTCTCCCGTTCCGACAAGACGGACGTGAAGGTTCCAAAGGTAATGAACTTACCCTTGCAGAGGAGGCAGTAGGCAAAGGAATCGGGGCTCTCCTTCAAGCACCCCGGGCAGATCCTGCACTTCTCACGCCGCCACCTACTGTTCTTTGGCCTGTAGGCATCGACCATTGCAACCTTCAGGTCGTTAACCGTCTCCAAATCACCGGGCAGCCATTTGTCGTGATCAGGATCCGCAAGCACAATACCCATGGCCTTTTCGACCTTGCTCTTCAGGGTCTCCGGAACGTTCGGGTTCTCGAGGATCTCAGTCGCAACAGCCATGATGGCGCTCAAGGCTGGTGACTTCGTGGAGCCACTGACTCCCAACACACACTGGTTGGAGATCCTCCTGGACATAATCATCTTGACATCCTTAATCTCCTCGCCAAACCGTCGGAAAGACCACACATTCCTCACCTCCAAGAACGGAGTGACGTTGGGCACGAAGATCACACCCTGAAGAGAGATGCCAGCTCCATACTTGACCAGTGTCGAGCAAGGGATGTAGAGGCACACATTGAACTCACTTCCAATTCCCGTTACCTGGGGTGCCGGACTCCGGCTGTCCCAGGGCAGGAACACAGTGAACCTGAATTTGTTCCTGTCGGTGGTAGCTGGAATGCAATTCATGATCATGTTGTCGAGGCATCTCAATGTAAGCCGATTTCAGAACTTCTGCAAAGCCCTGATCGAAATTGAAGACAAGCTTGAGGGGGTTGTTGTGATGGCGTGGCTTGGATCCGTAGTGTGCCGCCACAGCGACGGGTAGTCAAAGGAAGTTTAGAAGGAACTTCCGTGTTGCGGCAACTAGTTGAAAGCTAGCTCTCTGTGAGACAGATGACGCGTGCCTATGGCCGGCCCCGCGCCGGCCCCGCCGCCACGTGCCTATGGCCAGCCCCGCGCCGGCCCCACGGCCCCTCGCCGGCCCCGCGTGCCTACAAAGTTATTCAAGGGTGGGGGGCAGGGCTTGACGAGTGAGATGCGCAATTCTCCTTTGTAGCGTTGTATCCCAGGCTCTTGGCCAAACGGGGAGGCGTGACATGCGACTGGGTACACGCATTTCTTGGTCGTATTGCCAACCTTCCGGGCCCAAAATGCAGGACGCAAAATCGTCGAGTTTTGCCACCGTCGTTGTGTGGACTGAATGTGAAGCCATTGAAGGCGCTCGCGCTGCAGCTGGTCAGCAAGACGGAAGCTCGGCTGCCAGCCTCGCGGCGTTGCAGGACGAGATTTGCAGCGTGCGCTTTTGCGCGTGGTGCAGACCCGTGTTGAGACAGATGGACAGCGCCATCCTGCTCCTTCCGAGGTAGTTGGGTCGGAACATCCGGGCTGCCTGCCTGCCACGGCCGAGGGGGGGATGTGTCAAGGCAGAGCGGAAGCAAATCGCCGCAGGCGGCCAAGGCATCTGCGGAGCTGCCGTGTGCTGCCGTCGTTGCCACCGACTGCTTCCAAAACGTCCGGTTTTGAGGGTCTGTTCTTGGGGCCGTCAGGTGGCCGCAAAAAGCGCCCCGTGCTCTTTTCCGGGCCAACATTTGGGGCCATTTTCCGGCCCCGTTTTCAAGGCCAGAAACTGCACGCCGAGCGTTGCGTTTTCCTGCGCCAACGTTTGCTTTTTCAGCGCGCGTGCTGGGCAGGCTTCTGAAACTTTGCCTCCACTGCAAGGCGGCGGGAAGCGCTGCAATGATTTTTGCACGTGTCGGGCGGGCTCAGAACCAGGGTCTTCTCTTTGGCAGACGCACGCACCGCCCAAATCAATGGGGCTCAGTGCCTTGCGCCGAAAGCGGAGCAGGCGCTGCGACTGCGCAAGGCAAGGTGGTCTCGACTGCTTACGATCCATTGCGCTGCGCGTTAGAGTCGCTGAAGAGCGTGTGGGGCACAGGTTCGTGGAGTTGGGCGACACTATCAGCGCACATGGCGCAGTTGGCGTTTTTCATGTGTTGCGCGGACCTATTTTGGCCCTGCTTGTTGTAGCTGGGCTGCCCAAAGCTGCAACCAAACGTGACCCCCGCCAACCGCGCGTGCCTATGGCCGGCCCCTCACCGGCCCCTGACGAGTGAGATGTGCAATTCTTCTTTGTAGCGTTGTGTCCCAGGCTCTTGGCCAAACGGGGAGGCGTGACATGCGACTGGGTACACGCATTTCTTGGTCGTATTGCCAACCTTCCGGGCCCAAAAGGCAGGACGCGAAATCGTCGAGTTCTGCCACCGTCGTTGTGTGGACTGAATGTGAAGCCCTGAAGGCGCTCGCGCTGCAGCTGGTCAGCAAGACGGAAGCTCGGCTGCCAGCCTCGCGGCGTTGCAGGACGAGATTTGCAGCG